AGAAACCACCTTGGCTTAACCAGGAGATCTTACATGATCTAAACCTCAAAAAGGAGTCACATAAAAAAGCAGAAACTAGGTCAAATAAATATAAGCAAACATCACAGGTATTCTGGGGCAAGATTAGAAAGGTAAAGGCAGAAAACGAGCTCCATCTAGCTAGAGACATAACGGGTAACAAGAAAACATTCTACAAATATATCAAAAGCAAGAGGAAGGCCAAGGACAGGGTAGGTCCACTGCTCAATGACAAGGGAGAAACAATAACAGAACGTGGAAATGGCAGAGGTGCTTAATGACTTCTTTGTTTCAGTTATCACCAAGAATCCCTGGTGGTGACTGGATGCCTAACATAGCAAATGCTAATGGAAATGGGGTAGGCGTAGAAGTAAAAATAGGAAAATAATTAAAAATTACTTAGAAAAGTTAGTTGTCTTCAAGTCACTAGGACCTGATGAAATGCATCCTAGAAATCTCTTCTATCGGGTCCTTGAATAATCCGAGCTATTGTCTTGGAAAAGTCATAGCAGATGGAAGAGATTCCAGAAGACTGAACAAGGGAAAACATAGTGCTCATCTTACAAAAACGGAAATAAGAACAACCCAGGAAACTACAGACCAGACAACTTAACTTCTGTGCCAGCAAAAATAATAGAGCATATAATTAAGGAATTAATCTGCAAATACCTATCTCCTTATTATCTTTCAGGTAACAGCCAGCATGGATTTGTAAAGAACAAATCGGGTCAAACCAACTTGGTAGCATTCTTTTCTAGGATACAAGTCTTGTGGATAAGCGGGGGAAGCAATATATGTGGTATACCAAGTTTTAGTAACGTATTGAGAGAGTCTTCTCAATAAACTAGGGAAATACAACCTAGATGGGGCTATTATAAGGTGGGTCATAAGTGACTGGATAACCAGTCTCAGAGAGTAGTTATTAACAGTTCACGGTCATGCCTGAAGGGCATAACAAAACGTGTTCTGCAGGTGTCAGTTTAGGGACTGATTTTGTTCAGTATTGTCATCAACAATTGAGATAATGGCACAGAGAGTACGTTTATAAAGTTTGCAGATGATACCAAGCACTTGCAAGTGCTTTGGGGGATAGAGTCATAATTCAAAATAATCTGGACAAACTAGAGAAATGGTCTGAGGTAAATAAAATAAATGAGAAAGGCAAAGTACTCTGCTTAGGAAGGAACCATCTGTTTTACACATACAAAATGGGAAGCAATTGTCTAGGAAGGAGTATGGCAGAAAGGGATCTCGGGACAATGGTGGACCACAAGCTAAATAGGCGTCAACAGCGTGACACTGCAAAAAAACCAACCAACCAACCAACCAAACAAAAACAACAGCCACACACACACCAAATATGATTCTGGGATGCATTAACAGGAGTGTTGTGAACAAGACACAAGAAGTCATTCTTCTGCTCTACTCTGCTGATTAGGCCACAGTTGGTCTACGTCTACACTGGCAGCTTCTTGTGCAAGAACTCTTTTGCAGAAGAGTTCTTGTGCAAAAACTCTTCCAGAAGAGAGTGTCTACACTGGGATGTGCTTTTGTGCAAGAGATGTGCTTTTGCGCAAGAGCATCCATGACAGTGTAGACGCTCTCTTGCGCAAGAAAGCTCTAATGGCCATTTTAGCCATAGGGCTTTTTTGCGCAAGAAATTCATGTTGCCTGTCTACACTGGCCTCTTGCACAAGAACAGTTGCGCAAAAGGGCTTATTCCTGAGCAGGAGCATCATAGTTCTTGCACAAGAAGCCCTGATTTCATACATTAGAACGTCCGTTTACTTGCGCAAGAACACACAGCCAGTGTAGACAGGCAGAAAGCAAAAGTGTCTGCTTTGGCGCAAGACCGTGTCAGTGTAGACACAGCCTTGGAATATTATGTCCAGTTCTGGGCACCACATTTCAAGAAAGATGTGGAGAAATTGGAGAAGGTCCAACAAAAATGACTGAAGATACAGAATATATGATCTATGAGGCAAGGCTGAAGGAATTGGGTTTGTTTAGTTTGGAAAAGAGAAGACTGAGAGGGGACATGATAGCACCTTTCAGGTACCTGAAAGGGTGTTACAAAGACGAGGGAGAAAAATTGTTCCTTTTGACCTCTGATGTTAGGACAAGAATCAATGGGATTCTTGCAGCAAGAATTGCAGCAAGGAGGTTTAGTTTGGTCGTTAGCAAAAACCTAACTGTCAGGGTGGTTAAACGTTGGAATAAATTGCCTAGGGGGTTTGTGGAAACCCCATCATTCAAAATTTTTAAGAGCAGGTTAACCAGGTTAGATAAACATCGGTCAAGGATGATCTAAATGATGCTTGGTCCTGCCGTGAGGGCAGGGAACTGGACTTGATGACCTCTTAAGGTACCTACCAGTTCTAGTATTCCATGATTTTATGACAGGGTCAGGAAATAATTTTAGAAGGGGGGCCACTTCAAAAATGTGTCAAGTGGCCCCAGGACGACCCAGAAGGTGAGGGTCCTTGAGCGGAAGATGCAGGGGCAGGACACTTCCAGGCTCCTCCGCCCACAGATCCTGATTGGGCTGGGGGCAGGGCGTCTATAGGCTGGATCAACCTGCTTGGCAGGCCAGATCGGGTCCGTGGAGGCATTCTTGCCCACCCCTGTTCTATGACTATCACATCCCTAGTATGAACCAAGGAACACTCACGTTGATTTTAGATACCAGGCTGAAAATGTGTCAATTCCTAGACATTTGCCTTCCATACACCCTAAAGTGGCTTAATCCTTTTTTAAAGAAAAACTACTTAAATCTGTCACTGTTGACACTTACACAGAAGCTCATATGCAAGTTTTCACATTACTTTCTCTTTTTAGGGTTTAAAAAAATGAGCAAGAAAACCCCTTTCCAATTAACAACAGTTACAAAGCATACATTTATAACAAGAACCCTACAAGATTACAATAAGCAAACAAAGAAAAAAAATGTCTTTCACCTCTCCTCTCCTATGTCGTCGGATTCACTGTTTTATAGAGATAGTCCACATCCTCCCCCATATCCTATAAGAGGATGTTTACCCTGTATCATAAGTATGAATCTCCAAGTGAAAATGAACACACTAAACACAAGTGTGCTCTGAAACCAAGGTGAGAAATGAGTCTGAGCATCCTGAGTTTTGTTGCTCTCAATCACTTCATAATCATCACCAGGAAGCAGAAAAAGTTGCATGTACAGGCAGTCCCCGGGTTACATGGATCCGACTAACATCGGATCCCTACTTACAAACGGGGTGAGGCAACCCCACACTAGCTGCTTCCCCCACAGCAGACCAGGGAGACACGAAGCTAGCACCCCCCCACAGCAGACCAGGAAGACGCGGAGCGGCTTTTCTCAGCAGACACCTCAGCTTGGGCTCGTCTACACTGGCCCCTTTTCCGGAAGGGGCATGTAAATTTCACCAGTCGTCGTAGGGAAATCTGCGGGGGATTTAAATATCCCCCGCGGCATTTAAATAAAAATGTCCGCCGCCTACTTTGAAGTAGGAATAAGAGCCTCCGGAAAAGGGCGCTTTTTCTGGAGGATCGGGGCCAGTGTAGACGCTCTTTTCCGGCTTTTTTAAAAGCCGGAAAAAAGCGGCGGACATTTTTATTTAAATGCCGCGGGGGATATTTAAATCCCCCGCGGATTTCCCTACACCGGGGTGAGGCACCCCCGCACTAGCTACTTCCCCCCAGCAGACTAGGGAGATGCGAAGCTAGCGCGTCCCCCTCCCCCCGCCCAGCAGACCAGGGAGAGGTGGAGCGGCTTTTCTCAGCAGACACTTCAGCTTGAGAATAAAGGGCTGAGGGAAGTGAGGTGTGGGAGAATAAAACTGAGCTCTGGAGAAATGTTTGGCTAGAGTTTCCCCTACAATATGTACCAGTTCCGACTTACATACAAATTCAACTTAAGAACAAACCTACAGTCCCTATCTTGTACGTAACCCGGGGACTGCCTGTATTAAAACTACATAAAAAAATCAGAATACATTACTGTGGTTACAGCAAAGAATAGAATTTCAAAAACTATGTCCAAATTATGACATTTTAATTCAGGTATGTACAGCGATTTTTTGCTTTAATAATAAAATTACTGCTTACACACATTCCAATTGCCTCTACATAGTGGGTTTTTTTTTAAATTTCATATTTATATAGTGACTCATCCCAAAAGATTCCCAAAGCTTTTCAAATACACATGTAGGATCACCCAATTCTATGCCAGCAGTACTTGCAACAGGTTTGCTACTATATATATATTTGGGGGAGACATTTTTATCTCAGTTATTCCATTTCAAATACAAGTATATTATTACTAAATCAGCTACTATATCCTCAACTGAAGTTAGAACAAAACAAATATCTATGAATCAGTTCAGAGAATTCTTAATACTTTCTGTACTATTTCTGTGTCTAGTTACAGCAGCATCTTCAGATAAATTTCAAGTGATTAACTTTTCTATTTCTATCTGAACGGGGTAGGCTAACCGTTTTCAGTTACCGCAGATTTCAGAACAAGTACTTACCACCAGTACTCCAGGGACATCTGAACTGAAAATATGAACTACTTTAAAATAAGTACAACTGGGTCTGTCATTATACTCATTGCAGATAAAGGAACTCATTCTGCCATGGCTGATGGAACAGCATACAAAGTCATTTTATGTTCACTGCTAGCCGAGAAGGAAAGACTTAGAAGTCAGATTTAACACTAAACCAAAGGCCAATCTGTTACTATAAACAAGATAAAAAACTGTTGTCTGTTTTAAACGAAGTCATTCGTATAGCCATGACCAATCCTGTCTAGGGAAAGTACTGTAAAACTAAATTTGATACTGTACTGAATAAATAGGAACAAAAACTATTTCCCGTACATTTCATTTTATAAACTCTCAACTAACATTTTATTTTTCATTAAAACAAAACAATGCTTTAGTTCATTACTGAAAAAAAATTTGCTTTTTAGAAACTCTGTATCTTACCTGCTCGTAATTTAGTCGTTGAATTTCCGATATCTCTTTTGGTTTTGCATCAAGAATATAGTCACCTTAAAAAAATTATAAATTTTCAAATTATGACTTATTCCACAAGTCAAAGCTTTAGATAACTTTTAAAGAGTACATCTGTCTGAAGCTCTTAGACAAAATGGGGGCAGACGAATCTGGACCTGCTATGGCATCTGGCGCTGCAGCAGCTATGGAGTGGCGCTTCTCGCCTAGCCCCAAGCTGCTGCAATGAAAGAGGGCTGGGATAGTCCCCTCTGCCAGGAGGGGCAGCCTCTCATCCTCAGCCCCACCACACAACAATGATTTAAAATGAAGCATTTTCATTTTATTTTCAAAAATAGAAAAATTGAGTTAAAAACCCGAGCATCACATTAAAATAATATAACCAGATTTTCAGAAGCACTTATGTTAATATAGTGAGTGGATTTTTTTAATGTGTTATAACTGTCTATTAATTTCCCATTTTTATTAATTTTTCTAAAATGTTCAATTCTTTTTTTTTTTTTAATATTACACCTTGTTTATGTTCTAAATATAAATGTATTTTTCTCCAGCAGAAACATGCAGAAAAGTTAAGTGACAAATTGTGAGACACATTTCAAGTTTGAGTGATGAAAAGTAGCAAGAATAGCAAAGGAAACACATGACAATATAACAAAGCACATAGTGTATTTACCTTTCACTTAATGGTGAATTTCATCTGCCATTTTTTTTGCCCAGTCACCCAGTTTTGTGAAAGCTCTTGGTAACGCTTCAGAATCAGCTTTGGATTTAACTATCTGGAATGATTTTATGTCATCTGAGAACTTGCCACCTAACTGATTTATGAAAATATGCTTATGACTTTCCCTCTGTTTTATGAAAATATGCTTATGACTATGAATATGCATAACTGGAAAATGCTTTATGCAAAATAGTTCTTAATGTAAGGTATCATTGGAAAGCTTGTAATCTACTGACTGTATACATTCTATTTGTATGCATGTACCATTGCTGTATCTGAAATAAGGAATACTGACTGTAGATATATTATTAATCTGTTAATATTAGGGAAAGCCTATTACCAGTCCACCAGGAACAACAATAAAGAAGCCAGACAACAGAACTAATAGCCCATTAGCAAGAGACAACTGAATGTGGGATTACTGTCTTCCTGCAGACCTGCTATACTGCTATTGACTCATGTAGACTTGTGACCATTGATGCTGAAATCAATCTTGAATTTTGTGCTTTTCCACGGAGATATGGGGGAATCAAACAAAGGTTTCGGGCTCTAGAGAAATTCTGTATAAGGCAAGGGAAGCAAAGAATGATTGTATTTAGCTACCTTTGCAGACTGCCTCCCACTCCCAGAAGATGCTTGAAAACACCAGGAAACAGGACTTTAACAACTGGTGAGGGACGGGGTGGGGAGAACTGCTGGAACTAGGTCATCTCTGGTCTGAGAAGTACTTTACCTAAATTAAGAACTAGAGTAAGAAATTATGATTTGTAACAAGTTCTCTTAGTGCAGTGGTCTCCAACCTTTTTAAGCACAAGATCACTTTTTCAATTTAAGTGCAATGTAAGATCTACCTCAAACCCAATACCCTTGCCCCACTTCCTTCGTGCCCCTTCTCCAAGGCCCTGATCCTGCTCAGTCGGTCCTACCTTCCACATTCTCCCTCCCTTTCACCAGGAAGGGGCAGAGGGTTGAGGCTCTGGTCTTGGGCTAAGGGATTTGGAGTGTGAGGGGGGCTCTGAGCTGAGCCAGGGGCAGAGAGTTGGGGTGCCGGAGGGGGAAGTGTTCAGGGTACAGGCTGTGTAAAGGAGTTTGGGTCCAGGCGGCTAAGGCAAGCATTTGGGGTTCATGACTAGGGCATGGGTTTGGAGCAGGCTCCAGATAGACTCTGCTTACCTCAGGTGGCTCCTGGGTGGTGGTGCAGTGGGAATGAGGTAGAATCACCACTGCCTTGGCCCTGCACTGCTCTCAAAAGCAGCCAGAAAACTCCCCCCATTCCAAGCCTTGTTGTGTCCCCACCTTTTCTGTGGAGATAGAATATAAGGTGGAAGATGGGGCATCCTAACATCTGCACTCCCTCCTCTGCTTTCCCTGCCCTGCCCAGGGAGCAGGAGGGAGAGTGGGGGCACAGCTCCAAGGCAAAGGGCAGGAGATGTGCAGCAGTGCAGGGAGGGGTAGCTGAAATGCTGGTATTCAACAACCTCTTGGCCAAACCAGTCAAGATCACCTGTCAGAGGCTCCAAGATCTACTGGTAGATCTCGATCTACTGGTTGGTGTCCACAGTCTTAGTGTATTAAGTTTAGCTTTCATGTTTTATTTTATTTAGTAACATGTTGTTCCATCTGCTACCTCTCATGACCACTTAAATCCTACTTTTATATTTAATCAAATCACTTATTGATTACCCAGTGTAAAAAAGTGTTACCTGGACAGACAAACAGCTGTGCTTCTCTCTCTTTCATTGATAAAGGGGCTTTTATGAGCTTTTCCTGAATAAAACTTTACACAGAGTAAGACAGTTATCTGGGATTCTGGTTCCAGTGTTACATCAGCTACTTTCCCATCTGTGTCAAGACTGTTTAGAACTGGGTTTTGCCCACGAAAACTCATGACACTCTAGATCTTTTTGTTAATCTCTAAGGCTATATCTACACAGCAGCATTATTCCAAAATAACAGTCTGAGCCTACACACAAGCAGTTATTTCAAAATAACGATGAGCTGGAAGACTGCTTACTCTGACTCCTGAAACCCTCATTGTACAAGAACTAAGGCAAGTAGGAGGGAGAGTGCTCTCTTGAAGTAACTTCTGTATCGAGAGTGCCAAAAGTCAACTTAAGCTATTTCAACTTAAGCTATGCAATTAGCATAGCTCTAAGGTGCCACAGGATTACTCGTTATTAAAATCCCTTTGACAGAGTATTCCTAGAGCTGAGCTGACCTCAGGGCCTGTATTGCTCTTCTCTGTGCTATGACCCCAACTCAGTGCCAACTTTGCATGAAACCAGAGGGCCTGGTGCAGAACAGGGGATTGGAGCACCCCAAAGAGCAGGTGGGCAAGCTCAGTGATATTTCAATACATTAAATGACAGCCTTAATGGGATCTCTGTGACTGAACCCATCACACATCCCTTTTCCCCTGATCATTAATGAACACTGAACAGCACATCCAGACAGAGCTCCTTGAGGTCCCTGCTGTTCACCTCTCTCCATTGTGAAAACTGACCATTTAGGTCTTACTCTTTGTTTCTGATCTTTAACCAGTTACCCAATCATGAGAGGACCTTCTTTCTTATCCCAGGACTTCTTATTTTGTATAAAATATTTTGATGAGGGAACATGTCAAAGGCTTTTCTGAATATTGAAGTACACTATATTAACTGGATTACCCTTATCTACTTGCTAACTGACACTCTCAAAGAAATCTAAGAGCTTGGTGAGGCATCAATTTCCTTTACAAGAGCCATGCTGACCCTTCCTCAACTGTGTTAATCTTTGTCTCATATAATTCTCTTCTTTACTAAAGTTTCAACCAATTTGCCCTGTTAAGCTCATCAGCTTGTTATCACCATGGTTATCTTGGAACCCCTTTATAAAAATCAGTGTTATGTTAGCTGCCTTCTCATCTGGTGCAGAGACTGATTTCAGAAATACATTACATATCACAGCTGGTAGTTCTACAATTTCATATCTGAATTCCTTTAGAACTCTTAGAATATAACAAATACCTCAAAAGCCTCTTTCTGCTACCCTTCATGTACTGCTCTCTAGAATCTCATTGACTCCCACTGTACTTGCTAGGGAATCGAAGTGGACAGTAAAGAGACGAGTCCCTCCTATGCCAAGGAGAGAAAGACTACACCTCCTCCAAGGAAGTGCCATTCTATCAGATGTGCCCGTCTCTTTCAGGAGATCAGTACTAGAATACCTTTTTAACCAGGAGCACTGGTGACTTCCAAACTATTAGTTTGGATATCATCCCCCTCAATCTCTCAGCATGTGATACTTATCACAACTGGCTCCACTAATAGGTCACTTGGCACCATCTCTGTTTTAGGTGCTGAAATAGTGGGTACTGTAGAGGTAGTCAACACAGATGAAGGGGTACCAAAGCTTTCAGTGGCTTAAAAAGGTTGGTAACCACTGAGTTAGAGACTGAACCCAAGAATAAAGTAGTACCTGCAAATAAAGGGCTCTACCCACCACACCAATTACATTAATTTTTACTGTTACTATAATTTGGCAAGAACAAAAAGGAGAAAAATAAAGTCACTGTAGACAATTAAAAGAAACAGTTGACATATATATTCTGAAAAATACTAATACGAACCAAGCAAGGAACATGAATTAAAAAGTATCTTTCGATATTTTGGAGCGTGAGGCCAAGCCACCTGCATGACACAAACCATAAGCTGGCAGCCATAGCAACATTTTACATGAAAACAGGCAGTAGAGCACAGAACTTCCAATAGCAGCACCAATGAAAAGCACAAATTATAACCAAAGGTAGTCTAGTATACCAGAATCTATTTTATGTAACCTATTTCAACAAAACCTGCTGGAGAAAAAATTATATGATGAGAAACAAGTGATAAATTACTTTATTGAATACAATTATAAATAACTAATAATTATAAATTTTAAATCACTACTAACCTAAATATTCCATCAGCTGTTCAGCAGTTATGATTTCCATCATTGGTGGTAGCTTGACCTGTGAAAGAGAATATTTTTCTTAAAAACTGATAAGTGTATTTGAGGTAATCGGTGTTGGATTACAATCTGAAGTGATTTTACAAGCTCTTCTTGGCAGAGACCATGTCTCTCTGTTTATATAGCACCTAGCACAAAGGGACCCTGATCCTATGAGATACCTAAGGGATACCATGTATAGTATTTCAAAAATACAAAATACTTTCTAGTATTAGGGTAAAATACCTCTCTACCACAACATGAGTGTAAGAAAGCTACACATTTTAAGAAAAAAGATAGGTGTGCACTGTATTTAATATAGCATGGTCAACTTTCCAACACATGAATTAAAAAAAATTAACTAGCACATTTCTTGCTTTTTTACCACCTTTTTCTTTCCTTTCTCTCCCACTCCTCCATCTGTAGGACTAGGGATGGATGGACACAGCAGTTCTGCAGAACTTGTTTTCCTTTCTATTTTTCCTTCCTTCTCTCTATTGTATTTTACTTTTCTAAATTATCCCATCATGCTTTTCTTCTCTCCCCTCTGTCATGCAAATTTAGATGTAGGATTTTTAAAAGAAAATACCTAAGAGGGAAAAAAAGTTTACAATCCAAATATACTCAATACTGAACCAAATTCAATTAAAATTCACAAATCTAGCACTTTCAAATGGTTAATTAGTAAAATAAAACTACCAAATGTGCTGAATACATGAGAAATTGTGTTTATAAAAACATATTTTTCATTTAAGAGTCAACTGATTAAACAAAGGAAATAATAGCCGCATTGATTGTTTCTGATCACCATGCCCTTCAAGATTTTAGAACTAGTAGGTCTATTTCCCTCAGGCCTAGCTTTAATTCAGAGATTGGAAGAAAATAAGCTTGTTCAATTCCCACTGGTTTCTTAACTTTGAATGAGTTAGTCATAATAAACTAAAAATCCTAATCTCTTTACAGCTACAGCGGAGATTAGTGCTATCAAAAATACATTTAACACTTCTACAAAGTTTGGTTCTATGTTATTAAATAGGAAGTGCACTCATTCCGCTTCCCTACTGCTCCTGCTTTTGTGCCTGCAGTGAGAAGAGGAAAAGGGGGCATGACTGCTGCACAGTCTCAGGTGGTGATTGCCAAACCCACACCCTAAGGCATGCGGTGCCATGGGGGGATAGGGTGGAGTGATGGTAAGAAGGGGCAAGGCATTACACAATTCCTCCAAAAGGGGATGACCCACAGGTTGGGACTTTGAGACCCTTGATATAATGGATTCAGTGGAACCAGTCCCAGTTCTCTCACAAATTCCATTTGTGACTTTAGAGAAATCAACTTAATATCAATACCAGAAGCATTTTGGAATAATGAGGCCATTTTTATATGGGCGCTTAAAGTCATACAACTTACATTTAGAAGAAACAAAAAACAGGACTATGTAGCACTTTAAAGACTAACAAGATGGTTTAATAGGTGATGAGGTTTCGTGGGTCAGACCCACTTCCTCAGATCAAATAGTGGAAGAAAATAGTCACAACCATATATACCAAAGGATACAATTAAAAAAAAGTGAACACATATGAAAAGGACAAATCAAATTTCAGAACAGAAGCGGGAGGGAGGGGTTGAAGGGGGGGGGAGGTAAATGTCTGAGCTAATGATATTAGAGGTGATAATTGGGGAAGCTATCTTTGTAATGGGTAAGATAATTAGTGTCTTCATTCAAATTTGAATGTAAAGTGTCAGATTTAAGCATGAATGACAGTTTTCTGTGTAACCTCAAAATATACCAGACAAAATAATTGATAAGTTTTTTTAATAATTTACAAGCTACACTTGAGAAGAGTCACGTTTATTTTAAAAAGACAAGGAGCTCCTGACATTAACAGTAATGTCATTTCCCATAACTCTCTAGTCAAAAAATAAAAACGTAGGATGATACACATATACTGGCACTGAATTATGCAGAGACTCTTTGAATGGTTAAAAATGTTTTTTTTTAAATGTATCAGTTTATATTTATATTCACCATTGTAATATGATGTATTCTCTACAAAGTATGTCTTGTGTGGTATCATTGAAAATTCATCTACTGAACATCACTGTCCAGTTAAAAGAGGTGTGGAAAACTATAGATTTTACTATGTGTTTGTTACTGAAATGTGTTGTAATTCTGGGGAATGCCCACAGATTTGTTCCTCAGATAAAGCAAAAGACTGACCACAATGTTAGAACACTAATAATTGTTCTAACAACCACTTGCCAGCAGGGGAGACTGTAAACAAAGAATTAACATGTCTACTCTGAGATGACTAACTTTGCGCATACACAGAAGGAAGCAAGAAATTTACAATTCACCTAGAAGACATTTCAAATCTCACACAGAGAAGACTGTTTTGTCTATAGCCCAGCAGGGTGCAATTTTCAAAGATGGTAAAAATTGTAATGGAAACACTCAACCTCTTTTCCCTTCTCTCTCTTCCCTTCCCTTCGCTGCTCACTTTACTACAATGCTTTAAATGAGAAAGAAAGCTTTTGGACAAAGGGGAGCGATCCTACTTGGAAGACTTTCTAGCTAGCAGAAACTGCTGTTAAGAATTTGGGTGAGGGAGGAAAAATGTTTGTTTTCAAGATCATTTACCTTGCCAACGTTTAAATATGAGCTTGCATGTTTTTTTTTCTTTTGTAACCAAGTCTTACCTTTATGCCTTACCACTTAAAATCTCTCTCCAATTAATCACCTTGTTATATTGTTTTATGTAAACCACTGTGTGTGTCTGAAATATTGGGAAATCTCTACTCAGGTCAACCAGGCTGGGGTATATTACTTACCCATTGTTGGAATGACAGGATAATTATGAGCTTGTACAGTCCAGTGGGCTACTGAACAGTACAAAACACACATTTCTGGGGGGCAAGGCTGGGATTGGGAGATCTACAGGTATCACCCTGTATTTATTCATGGGTGGTTGGGAAAGCATTCATGTATTCACAGCTGGGAGAGAAATGACAACAGTCGTTTTCAAACTTTTTGAATTGGTGGTCCATTTTACACAGCAAGCCTCTAAATGTGACTGCTTCTCCTATAAATTAAGTATAATACACCAATTTAATTAAATTAGGGATTGGGCTGCCAGCCCCACACTGCTGACAGCTCATGACCACAATGTAACCACCTCAACTCCTGAGGGACTATGAACCCCAGTTTGAGAATCCCTGCTTCACATCTGGCTGTGAGTGAGCAAAACCTGGATGGGTTGCTGTTTTTGACAGTAAAGCAGAGTAAAAGCATCCCAGGCTGGAAAGCTAAATTGACACAGAAATCCAATAGATCAGACTGTACCCTGGGGAATGCCACAACAGTGAAAGAGTTTGGACAGGGTAATCTTATGCTTTGGCCTTGTCTTGCCTGCCACGAGTGCTGTTTTGTCATTCTCTCTTTCACATAGATATGTTTAGATAATGCTCATAGGTGACAGGAAAAAAGGTAAAGCTTTTTTATTGTGCTGAGAGAGAGAGAGATAAGAGGAAATTAATCTGTACAATCAAACACAAAGTATCACACTAAAAATCTCTATGTTGGGGAAAAAAGCTACAGTAACATGAAGGCACAAAATAAAAACGAGGTAGATAGCAAAAATGACAAAAAGTGAAGCTTGTGCATGTGTATAGTACGGGTATGTAATAGTTCTTAAGGTTGCTAGGACAGTTAATGAGTATGTAATATGAAAAAGTATAAGAAGCCAAGAGAACAAGGACAAAAGTTGAAGAACTGCTGGCTTGGAAACTGAAGGAATGAGGCTGAGATAATTGTCATGAACTGCAGGAAATATTCACAGTACTCTAAAACATAGTAACTTGAGTTGCTATCTGTATCTGTTTATTGTCTGGCATAAGAGTACGTTCAGAAAATATGAGTAACACTAAATCCATCTAAACATTTATAAGTCAAGGTGAAAACTGATTGAGCCTAAATTGGGTGGATTTGGGTGAGTTTCCCACCTTACAGGTTCATCCTATCTATGCATGGAAATGAGTGACTGTTTCAGTTAACAAAGAAGTGACAGGTACTCTGCATACTTTCAATTAAGAGAGATCTTGAAGCATGAAGTTTTTCATGAAATACTGATCTTGGTGTCTATGGAGCCAGCCAGTTCTCCAACAAAGCATTGGGGAGAAAAGTTACTTTATTAGGGAGAAAAGGCACCTATTCTAAGTTTGGACCAGATTCATGTTTAGGATTGTTTCATAGTCATTTGTTCCATGTGATTGTGTGGACTGAGCGCCCCTGCTGGAAGCCTGATATTCCTGCCATTTCCCACACAACCCTGTAGTGCAGGGGTGGTCAACCTGTAGCTCCAGAGCTACATGTAGCTCTTCAGAAGTTAATATGCGGCACCTTGTATAGGTACCAAATCCAGGGCTGAAGCAACAGGTGCCAACTTTCCACTTGGCCCAAGGGTGCTCACTCTTCAACCCCCAGTTCTGCCCTACGCCCTTCCCCCTGGGATCCTGCCACTTCCTACTCTCTCCTTTGAGCCTGTCACACCCATGCTCCCCCCCCTTCCAGTGTCCACCACTGAGAAAAAGCTGATCACAGTGGGTTGGAGGAAAAGGAGGAAGCAGCACTGACCAGTGGGGTTGCCAGTTGGCAGGATGTTCTGAGAGTGGTGGCGGGGATATGATCATGGCTGGTGACATAACTGTTGCTCTTTGGCAATGGGCATTGGTAAATTCTGGCTCCCTCTCAGGTTTAGGTTGACCACCCCTGCTGCAGTGGCTACTGCTTCAAAACTGGCTGGACACCACAGGCCTAAGAGCTTCATAAGCAGAGGGAGTGAATTCCTTGCTAGAGCAGAGAACAACAGACGGTACCCCGGGTTGGCTTCTGTAACTCACTAGGAAGAGGCCCTGAAGTAAGGATGAAGAATGTGCCAAAGCCACAGGAAAATGTCCAGGGAATAATAGCAACAGTTACTTAAAGGAACATTGCAGACACTGGCTATCTACAGAATCCCTGGGCTTGGACCCAGAGTAGAGGGCGGGCCTAAATCTGAAAGGATAACCACACTTTGCTACAGGTCTTCCAAAGGTTTCCTGCAATAGACTGCTCTTGTTTCGTTGCCATCACAGCTATCATCTGATGTTCATTTACACAAAACTGTTCTCTCAATCTGGCACACTAATTGGATGTTTGCTTTCAAAGAACACCTTCAATTCTTGTCTAACTATAATGCCACAGTCCATCATCATAGAGGCTGCACTGCAGGCCAGACTCCAAGTTGGAAGATATAAAGAAGCCACTTCAAAGTAGAAAAGAAAGATTACTTACCAGTAATTTTAGTTATTTGAAAGTAGTTTCTACACGTTCATGTTTTCTGCTCACCTTTCTTGTTTCATAGAACGTCTAATCTCTTTAGTAGTTTTAAAAAAAACCTAAACTGTGCTAGTTAGGGACCAAACAACTCTTACAATTTTGGTTACCAACATCCGATATGAGGATGCATTTGTCCAGTCCCAATGAGTAGACATTTTTTCAGACCGTTCCCAATACTCAACTGTTGCCAGCGTGGTACCCCAGAAGCGTGATTAAACAGAGGCAGAATTCTCAGAGTTTGGTACATGTACGTAATCTTTCTTTTCGTAGCCCTACTCAAAATTGCTGAGGCTGGAACGGACATGGAGTTCTCAAAAAAAAAAAAATACTAGTAGGAAAAAAAAAAATCTAAGAAAGAACTTAATCTTGCTTAAGTGACAGATTGCATTTTCATCAACATTAGGCAAAAAACAAAACAAAACCAAAAAACCTCGCCTTTGAAGAATATACTGGAGCACATTTACTTGCTATATTGTACAAATCTACCCGTTACTATAGCTTCTACATAAGCAAATATTTTGAAACCTGAACAGATCAAGAATTACACAAGGTCTTCAATTAGCCAGGGTCGTCTCAGGATTTGTGATGAATAGTAGAATGTGAATGGCTAAAAAGACTTTAGTTAATGTGATAAATGAATCTGTATATACAAAAGATTCAGAATTTAGTAATGCTTTGAAATGTACGAATTCTGTGTATTAACCTGGTTTATTGAGATGCTTTCTGTATCACTATATTGATTTAAAACAATAGGTCAGTCTAAAAACAGGCAGGAAGGCAAGAAATGGCTTACGATAAACCGTATCTGCAAACACAGGGAGGGTTATTAAGGAATAATTACACGAATAATAACCTGGAAGATTTCTGCTCCTTTCTTCAGGTAATCCACAAGACTCCTGTAAACACAGGACAAAGACTTCTGACAGGTTAAAAAGAAGGAGAGTAATGATCCAGAAGAGGGGCTAGAGACACAGGGTGGGGTGCCTGAAGAAATTATACCTGCTAGATTAGGCATGGGTATTGACTGTTTTTAAAGTCCTTGCATTTCTAAACAATTTGTTATTATTGATAAAATACACTCTGATCAGACTTGTTAAAACCAGTGTAAGTGAAGGAGAAGAGTTTGCTGGTGAGGAAAAGAGATTGAAAACTGAACAGTGGTCTTTCCCTCCCTTTTCCATCATTTTTTCTTCTCCCTATAGGTCCTAGATGCACGCTCCTCTCCACTCTAGATATCTAATGTGGTATTTCTTACTAACACACGCTGTACTGTACATTCTATCTCTATCATAACTCTCAGGTTTTGGTTCCTTGTTCCCATCCCCATTATTCCTTGACCCAATCCAGTTTTCTCCCATGATGAGGGGAAAGTGAGCTGAATGTGAATGTCTTTCCTCAGTGTGGAGCAGCTGCCAGCTACATACAGATGTGGTTCAGATCAGCTGCCAATAAGCTTGTCACTCTCACAAGTGCCAACATTGATCTGATTATAGTTTGGGAGGGAATGGTGGGGCAATAACCAGGAGATTTATTTAAATGTGGGGGGAGGGGAATATTACTGTACAACAAATTAAGTAAAAGTTTCTGTAGTACAGACACACTCAGTGTGCAACCAGTTTTATCACTTTAGCTGGTTTGTAATTGCTTCAAGTAGCCAGTCTAATGGGGTTTACATAAACCAGGACAGAACTCTGCAATACTAACAGGAATAATAGAACAGAAATAGAGACATTTCTGATTTTTCAGGGAAACATCACTACATTTTTTATAAAATTCAATTTATCCGGCATTGCTTAGGTCTAACTCAAATGAGTTTTGGTTTTATTAATTTAAAATAATTGTTTTGGGGTGGGGTTTAGGATGAGGGGTTCAGTATGCAAGCTGACCTGGGGAAAGAGGACTACCCTAGCATCCTTTCACTGCAGCATCTTGGGGTTAAGCAAGAAGGATCTGTCCATAACCACCGCAACGGGAAGAGCTGAGGGAGGGGTGCATGTCCCCCAGCTGGTGGACAGACATACACAGGAAGACAAATGCTCTGAAATATACAGTAGATAGCAGTCCCTTTTCTCTACCCCTGCAGACCCAATGGAGTTATAGCTATCCCAGTCCTCATCTTTGGCTCCTTGCTGTCCCCTCTGTGGTCATTCTGTAGCTTAACTATCCTTCCTGACAGACACCTCCCTTTCTATTTCATTAAAAACAACTAAATTCCAGGCAGATCTTTTGTCTTCACACAACCAAACTCTTATCTTGCTTTAAGTTATGATAAGAGCTACGTACCAAATTTGGCAGTCCTAGCTCTTACTCTTTAGGAAGTTTTCTTAGACAAATGGACTCACGGACAGACAGATTGATGCACAATTCTAAAATATATAGTGAGAAATGGTGCACAAAAGTCAAGTAAGATTTTGGGTGGCAGGTAAGAGTCTCTAAATAAATATTTTAATAATTGAGGCCTCACAGATCTACACAACTGTGAGTTCCATGGTTGGAAAACAGGTCAAGTTTCATAAACAATTTTATGTAACAGGTAATTGTGACAGTTTAAGAAAAAAATGCAAAAAGACAGTCTAGTAAGGCCAATCAAGGAATGTGGTAAAAATACTTCTGGAAACAAAATAAGTATGGAACCATAAATCAACAGACCCAAATTTGTACTGCAACTATTAAACGTAATTAGTGGATAAAATAACGATGCACAGAAGTTGCAGCCAATGAGATAGGGGGCAGTGCCTGCAGGAAGAGCTTCCCTGCAGCAGGCAAAGCCACCTGTGCTGCCCCAGAAGACACCCCGATCCCCTGCCCCTTCCCACACTCTCCCTTCTGCCCAGATCCTGCTCCTCCGTCCTGACTCCCATCCAGATCCTGCAACCTTATCCCCAGACTGCTTCCCAGCAGCACACCTCCCGCACACTGAACCCCTCATTTTTGGCTCTACCACTGACCTGTTAGGGACACAAAACTTACTAGTCATGTCCCCAGAACTTAATTGGGGGTAAGCACTGAGCATTGGTGCATCTCTTTTCCCCTCCCCTCCACCCACATACACAGGGGCTGAAGCTAGGAGAGCGAACTGCAAGTCTTTTTTTCTGTTTCTCAGTTGGGGCTACATCTGCAAGGTTTTTCTTCTTTTCACTTGGAGGCCAGGTTAATGAGACAGATTTTTTTGTTGCTTCACTTGTGTGGCCCCCGGCGGATTTTTCTGTGGGTCAGCAGCTCCCAACACAAAAAAGGTTACAAACCTCTGTCCTCAAGATTCCCAACACCTACCTCTTAATCTCGTTTGACTCTTTACCTTTTTCCATGTCACCTGCTACATTTGAAACAGCCTCACTCTTCCTAGGATGCCAACTATCTTTCCCTCCATTCAAATTCCTCAAAAAACAAAAACAAAACAAAACAAAACCACTTTTTACTCTAAGCTTTCTTGTACTGATACTTCTCACAGACTGGTATTATCCTGAATAAGCCTTATGGAATTATGATAAACTTTACTGAATTTAGTTAAGCCTTATTGAATTAGGGTTAAGACCTTTGAAGTACATTGTATTAAGAATGCAATTGTGTATTATTGTGACTTTCTATGTATCTCCACTAATAAGGATGGTGAATGCCAATGTACATCTTCTCTTAACTTTTTGAAGCCACGCACATGGACACGTGTGTTCACACTAATTCAAAATGAAGCACCCCCTCCATCCTTCAGGCTCTTATTCACCAACACACAGAGGCCCTGTGAGCAGACAGGGCAGGCAGCTGGCTGGCTGCCTGCCAACCCTGCTGGGCGGGAGTCACCCAAGTAAATCTCCTGGCCAGAGCCTGCCTCCCCCATGTAAGCCAAACCCTCTGTCCCCCTCCTGAATCCATACCCCCTCCCAGACCCTGCACCCTAGTCCCCTGCCCTAGATGATAAACCCCTCCTGCCCTAAGTCACATTCCAAACCCCTGCACTTCAATCCCCTGCCCTAGGTCACAACCCAAACTTCTGCACCCCCTCCTGCACTCCAGTCCAGTGCCCCAGGTTACAACTGCTTCCTTCACACAAACTCCCTCCCAAACCCTTGGATTCCCGCTGTTGGAGTTTTCTCTCAAGCAGGTGAGGAGAGAAGAAATACAGTAAGTACATTAGTTGAGGCTGATATATACCAAGAACCACCCTCTGCACAGTGAGTGCTCTGGGAATGTAACTCAGAATGCCAAGGGGCGCAGGCATTGTCGGATAACTACCTACTGTGCATCTCTCTCAAATAGGAGTTTCTGGTTCTCAATCCTTTGCACAATGTTGGCATATAATACTAAGTAATATTGGATCTTTGTAATAAGCTTTCTACAATTACAACTGTGTAGTTAGCCATGTGCTTTGTAAAGCATTATGTATGTTATAAGTGCCATTGAACAGCAATAATAATTTTGGATTTTATGAACAACTAAATATGTATATAGGTCAAACACTCCTGAAAACTGGTTATTTTTGCAAATGTGTATGTTCTCATTACGCTGCATCTACACCATAAATTTCTATGTTTGTAGAATGCTACATATTTCCAGTAATATATAACCGTTATGCCTTTGTTTTGCAAAGCACGGTCTACATTGCTATTCTTCTTTAAAAAGTAATAGCAGCACTTTACAGAACACAGTGTTAACCTATGTTGCCAATGTGACACAAACAATAGAACTGTTTTGCAAGATACCATGGATTTTCCCAACACTTGGGAGTGAGATGCATGCATGCTTTTAGTGGTATAGAAAGGATATCAACAATAACAGACTTCCGTTTAAGTGGTGCAATTTCTAATGCTGTAGTAGTAGGTCTGACAAATAGCTGTGTATGTTTCAACATTATATAATTAGATTTGTGATTCTAGTAGTGCTGTGCATATTCCCAGGGCTACAAGAATAGTTACTAGGCTTGTGAAACATCTTGTATGTTTCCAGAGTCATACAAATCATAAAGGTGGATGTATGTAGTGTGGGTCTGTGCGCATCTCCACTATCACCGAGGCGGTACCCGAGTCTGCGGGAAGCCTCAGGAGCGTTTTGCTGCTGTGGACACTGTTAATCACTCCCGGCCCGAGGGATACGATACCTTCCAAGCCAGCAGCAGCACGTTCATGATGGCCAGCAGTGGGCAAGGCCCGTTCTCGTTCTGGGTGATGATCGGCGTGTTCTCCTCCTTCCAGCGGACCCACTTGATGTGATAAACCGACTGGCCGGGAAAGCGCTCCTTGCCGGCAGACAAGAGCTGAGCCGCCAGGGGCCAGGGCCTTGTCCTCTGCCGCGGGCGCCGCCGCCTCCTCGGCATCGCTGTTGAGCTCGGAGCTGCTGGGGCAGCAGGAGTGCAGATTGGAGAAGGACTCCAGCGAGTCCAGGCTGCGCGACTCCTCCTCTGGGGGGCTGGGGTCGCCGCTGCTGCCGCCCTCCAAGACAGGAGCCGCCCCAGGGCTCCCAGTCAGGGCGGGCTCCGCGCAGTCCGCAGCTGGCCGGCGGCTCTCTGGGGCCGACACGGGAGACCCCGGCGAAGTCGGAGGGCGCGGCCCCGGGGCCGCGGCCGGCGGGGGGAGA